CCAATTATGTGGTCAATTTTAGAGTAGGTGTGATGTGGTGCTGAGAAGAATGTGTATTCTGTGGATTTGGGGTGGAGAGTTCTGTAAATGTCTACCAGGTTTGCTTGCTCCAGGTCTGAGTTCAAGCCCTGGATATCCTTGTTGATTTTCTGTCTGGTTCATCTGTCTAGTATTGACAGTGGAGTGTTAAAGTCTCCCACTATTATTGTGTGGGAGTCTAAGTCCTTCTGTAAGTCATTAAGAACTTGCCTTATGTATCTGGGTGCTCCTGTGTTGGGTCCATATATGTTTAGGATCGTTAGCTCTTCTTGTTGTATCAATCCTTTTACCATTATGTAATGGCCTTCTTTGTCTCTTTTGATCTTTGTTGCTTTAAAGTCTATTTTATCAGAGATGAGAATTGCAACTCCTGCTTTTTTTTGCTTTCCATTAGCTTGGTAAATCTTCCTCCATCCCTTTATTTTGAGCCTTTGTGTATCCTTGCATGTGAGATGGGTTTCCTGGATACAGCACACTGATGGGTTTTGGCTTTTTATCCAATTTGCCAGTCTGTGTCTTTTGATTGGTGCATTTAGTCCATTTACATTTAGGGTTAATATTGTTATGTGTGAATTTGATACTGCCATTTTGATGCTAAGTGGCTGTTTTGCCTGTTAGTTGTTGTAGATTCTTCATTATGTTGAAGCTCTTTAGCATTCAGTGTGATTTTGGAATGGCTGGTACTGATTGATCCTTTCTATGTGTAGTGCCTCTTTTAGGAGCTCTTGTAAAGCAGGCCTGGTGGTGACAAAATCTCTGAGTCCTTGCTTGTTCGCAAAGGATTTTATTCTTCCTTCACTTCTGAAGCTCAGTTTGGCTGGATATGAAATTCTGGGTTGAAAGTTCTTTTCTTTAAGAATGTTGAATATTGGCCCCCACTCTCTTCTGGCTTGTAGTGTTTCTGCCGAGAGATCTGCTGTGAGTCTGATGGGCTTCCCTTTGTGGGTGACCCGACCTTTCTCTCTGGCCACCCTTAGTATTCTCCTTTATTTCAACCCTGTTGAATCTGACGATTATGTGCCTTGGGGTTGCTCTTCTTGCGGAATATCTTTGTGGTGTTCTCTGTATTTCCTGCAATTGAGTGTTGGCTTGTCTTGCTAGGTGGGGGAAATTTTCCTGGATGATGTCCTGAAGAGTATTTTCCAGCTTGGATTCATTCTCTTCGTCCCCTTCTGGTACACCTATCAAACGTAGGTTAGGTCTTTTCACATAGTCCCATATTTCTTGGAGACTTTGTTCATTCCTTTTTGCGCTTTTTTCTCTGATCTTGGTTTCTTGTTTTATTTCATTGAGTTGGTCTTCGACTTCAGATATTCTTTCTTCTGCTTGGTCAATTCGGCTATTGAAACTTGTGTTTGCTTCGCGAAGTTCTCGTATTGTGTTTTTCAGCTCCTTTAATTCATTCATATTCCTCTCTAAGGTATCCATTCTTGTTATCATTTCCTCGAATCTTTTTTCAAATCTTTTTTCAAGGTTCTTAGTTTCTTTGCATTGATTTAATACATGATCTTTTAGCTCACAAAAGTTTCTCATTATCCATCTTCTGAAGTCTAATTCCGTCATTTCGTCACAGTCATTCTCCGTCCAGCTTTGCTCCCTTGCTGGTGAGGAGTTTTGGTCCTTTCTAGGAGGCGAGGTGTTCTGATTTTGGGTGTTTTCCTCCTTTTTGCGCTGGTTTCTTCCCATCTTTGTGGATTTGTCCGCTGGTCGTCTGCGTAGTTGCTGACTTTTCGTTTGGGTCTCTGAGTGGACACCCAGAATGTTGATGATGAAGTATTTCTGTTGCTTGGTTTTCCTTCTACCCGTCTAGCCCCTTCGCTGTACGACTGCTGAGGTCCGCTCCAGACCCTGCTTATCTGGGGTGCACCTCTAGTAGCTGTGGCACAGCGAGGGATGCTACCAGTTTCTTTTTCTGCTCTCTCTGTCCCAGGATGATGCCTGCCTAATGTCAGTCTTTTCGATATAGAGGGGTCAGGGAGCTGCTTGAGGAGACAGTTTGTACTTTATAGGGGTTTAATTGCTGAGCTGTGCACTCTATTGTTCATTCAGGGCTGTTAGGCTGCTATGTTTGATTCTGCTGCAACAGAGCTCATTAAAAACCCTTTTTTTTTTTTTTTTTTCTCAAATGCTCTGTGTTGAGGGGTTTGGGATTTATTTTTGGATGTCCGATCAGGTGTCCTGCCCAGCTAGAAGGCAGACTAGCCACTGTTTGGCTGCCGAGGCTCCGCCCTGCTGTTGTGTGATTCGCGCTGTTCCTGCCGGCTCTGCTGTGGTCTCCGCCACGCCCTGCGGCGGAGTCTCTTCGTTGTAGCGTGTTGCCTCAGCAACGGCAGGCTGCATTAGCAGTGGGCGTGTATCTCAGTTGGGGTGGGTTGCCTCGGCAACGGCTGGCTGTGTCAGCAGTGGGCGTGTATCTCAGTTGGGGCGGGTTGCCTCGGTAGTGGTGGACGCCCCTCCCCCACAGAGCGTCTCGGACCGTCTGCTCGGGATAGTTTGAAATCGCGGTTTTGTTCGTCTCACTGGGTATCCCAATCCCTGCAATCCCCTGGGCTGGCCTATTGTCCAAGTCTCGTTCAGTCTCAAGTCCAGCCCTCTCAAGTCTCAGGTTGCCGGTTCAACAGGGCACCCGGACAAGCGCGCCCTATGGGGATTGCTGGGTAGGGCCGGCCGCCGCCGCCCCGGCTGCCGGCTTCGCCAGGCAGATCTACTGCCTGGCGTCCCGTGTCTTTTTTATACTTGGGAGTTTCCCCGTTCTGTGGGCAACAAAGATCAGTCTGGAAATGCCGCTCTGACTCACCGTTTGCGGATTTAACGAGAAGAGCTCCAATCCTGGGTTGTTCTCACAGCGCCATCTTGAGTCCTCACCGCTTTTTTTTTTTTGAGATGGAGTTTCGCTCTTGTTACCCAGGCTGGAGTGCAATGGTGCAATCTTGGCTCACCACAACCTCCGCCTTCGGGTTCAGGCAGTTCTCCTGCCTCAGCCTCCTGAGTAGCTGGAGCTAATTTTTTGTATTTTTCGTAGAGACAGGGTTTCCCCATGTTGACCAGGATGGTCTCAATCTCTTGACCTCGTGATCCACCCGCCTCGGCCTCCCAAAGTGCTGGGATTACAGGCGTGAGCCACCGCACCCGGCCCATGCTGTTTTGATTCCTGTAGCCTTGTAGCATAGTTTGAAGTCAGGTAGCATGATGCCTCCAGCTTTGTTGTTGTTGTTTTTTCTTAGGATTATCTTGGCTATGCAGGCTCTTTTTTGGTTCCATATGAAGTTTAAGGTGGTTTTTTCCAATTCTGTGAAGAAAGTCAATGGTAGCTTGATGGGGTATCATTGAATCTATAGATTACTTTGGGCAGTATGGCCATTTTTGTGATTCTTCTTGTCCATGAGCATGGAATGTTTTTCCATTTGATTGTAGTCAGGATTTTTAATTGCACATTGATTTAATCAGCAAAGGAATTCATTGGAAGGGTATTGGTCATCTCAGATTTGAAAAATGATTACAAACAAGGGAGACTATGCAGTAGTATCCAAGACCACAGCATAAAACCAGCCTCCACTGCTAAATATTGTATACCACAGCTTATACCATCATTCCTGACTATAGTGAATGCTGCTACTGCTGCTGCTGCAGTTCTATCCCTGTCGCCCATGGAAGCTTGAAGTTACTATACTGTCTACCAATAGATGAATTTGCAATAGTCCTTGTTTTTTGTGATAACTAATCCAATATTCAAGACAGGTTCATCTGATTAGCGGAGCCTGACCTCATGCTTATAAAGCTGGTACCTGGCATCTTTGCTTCTCTGGTAGATAGTGGGCTCTTGTATTGTAGAAAAACTGTCACAACTTACCAGAGAAGCAAAGATGCCAGGTACTAACTTTATAAGGGAGTTTAGATACTATATAGCCAAGACCAAAAATAAGCTTCTTGAGTATTTAATATAATCAATATACACAGAAGGACAGCACAATCAATTGTACACCAATTCAAAAGTGGATGTTTCAAGATTTTAATGTGTTTCATTGATATCTGCTAAACTCAATGAACATAAAACTTCACAAATGAAGACTGCTTTTACATTCTTCAATTCTATCCTCTATAACACTGCTAGTTATTTTTCTAAAATGCAGATCTTGTTATGTCATTGTTCTACTCGAAATCCTTCAGTGGTTAATTCCCATTTTTTCAAATAGGATAACATTCAAACTCTTTAGCGTGACCTACAAGTCCTTCTCAATATTTGAATCCTGCCAATTTTCTAGCAAATACCAATATTCTACTGTCCCCTGCAATAACATATTAGCTCCAGTCATATCTTATTGGTTCTGTTTCTCTGATAAATACCATGCTCTTTCATGTTTTTGTGGCTTTGTGGATATAGAGCCTTTTGCTTGTAATGCCTACCCCTTTGTTGTCTTTTTTTGCAAATTTATCTTTAAAGATTCAGTTGAAATACCACCTTTGCATGTAATGTCTTGTTAATACCCTCAGTTTCCCTCCTTATGTTTCTTATATATTTCTCTAACATAGCACTCATTACATTGTATTGTAATTAGTTTTTACAGAATTTTTATTATTAGAGCCTAATACATTTGGGAATTGAGATTTCCTTGTTATTTTATCTCTGAAGCTATTTGTTCAATAAATAATGAAAACACTGTACTTCTGGTTAGTTAGTTGATTTTGTTAGTACTCTCCTTTTAAGATCCAAGGTCATAGAGTCTATCTCTGTATTTGATTAACTTTGCCTGATCCACAACAGATTATATTCCCACCTTGGCTAATCTTGCAAGGGAATTAGGGAAAATAGACTTTAATGAACCAATAGTATTATCTTGACATATGAAATATAACAAATTATAATTATAGGCTTAAGGATGAACTTTGAAACTGTCAGGAAAATACCTTGTTTTAGTGAAATATGTGTACTGAATTTTCTGTTTGATATGTTTCTTATTAAGGAACTAAAAAAAGTAGCCTCAGACTTGATAAAGTCGAAAGTCACATGTCAGTATAAGATGGGAGAAGAAAACATCAATCTAACAGTTAAAGAACAAAAACTTCAGGAACTTCAAGAAAGACTCAACATGGTATTTTATTAAATGTATTTGTTTATAAAATTAGTATTTTCAATAAAACTTATGAGAATTTCAGGATTGTAACACAAAAATATTCCTTTTTTGCAAAGTCAATATGCATAAAGGTATTATGAATCTGTTTTCTTTTTATTAATTTTTGCCATGGACTTTAGAGACAGAAAGATTTGGCTAGAACTATTTTATTTCTCCTTGAATATGGTTTTGAGTAATCTTGTGGTACAGTGGTGTCTCAAATGAGAAATTTTGCAGTCTTTAACATTTACAAGTTTGCACCAACCTATATTGGGTATATAATATCTGCTTCAGTTCACTGAAGTCACTGTTTCAACCACAAACAAATGCGGGTATTTTGGGCGGGGTGCAGTGGCTCACACCTATAGTCTCAGTACTTTGGGAAGCCGGGGTGGGTGGATCACTTGAAATCAGGAGTTCAAGACCAGCTTGGCCAACATGGTGAAACTCTGTCTCTACTGAAAATACAAAAATTAGCTGGGCATGGTGGTGGGCATCTGTAAAGCCAGCTACTCGGGAGGTGGAGGCATGAAAATTGGCTTGAACCTAGGAGGCAGAGGTTACAGTGAGCCAAGATCACACCACTGCACTCCAAACTGGGTGGTAGAGCAAGACTCAGTCTCAAAAACAAAAATACATGTAGGTACTCTGGGGGTAGTAATAGGTCATAACACTCCAATATTTGTTTAATACTGAATTGAATGTAGAATTTGCTAAATTTTATATCATAACTTTAAGACTACTCAAATTTTAAAGGAATTGGAATTAAATGAGAAGATTAATGAAGACATTGCCCATATTCAAGAAGAAAAACAGGTAAGCAATTTTAAGATATTTGGAATCCAGTAAATATTCTAAAAATCAGATAAAATGTGAAAAATTAATTGGAATCATACATAGCACATAGCAGGTGCTCAGTGAATGTGTATTAAATGTATACATGTATACTTTTTAAAATAAGTCTTAATATACATTTAAAAAAACCTTAGTTTTTTTCCTTGTTAGAGTAGAGCAGTGGTACCCTAGCAGATAATTATTGAAGTTTATTTATGTGTAGTGCATACTTTTTCAGGACGTTGTACTCTCATTTGAATCTATTTGATGCTTATAATTATTCCATTTCTAAAAAGATGTGTGAAAGAATATTCCTCCAGTTTCTTTTTTCTCTTCTGCTTTTCTTCCATTTGACTCTGAATGTATGCCATGACATCCTAGCCCATTATGACATTTTATAATATTATGCCTCATATGACACTTTAGTAGTGATATATTTACTGTTGCAGGGGGGTTGTGGCAAGCCAGCAAATGTCTATTTTAGTTTTGAATTCTTCACATGTGTCTTAGAAGTCACAATTTATTCCAAAAAAAAATTGTTAATTATTTGAGGGACTCTTGGAAATAATGTCATAGAAATTATTTTAGATACCATTAGAGGTGCCATTAGTTTAATATGAAGTGTTGAAATTAAACTATAAATACAATGAGTTAGGAAACTAGAAAATGTATGTGAAGAATTAGCTTAGAAACATACCTACTATCTTAAAACTTTTAAATTGATATATCCAATTTGTGTATTTTCAAAGGATATCATCATTTCTTTCCAACATATGCAGCAGTTACTTCAACAACAAATTCAAGCTAATACTGAAATGGAGGCAAAATTGAAGGTGCTAAAAGAAGATAATCAGGTTATATTTATGAATCTCTCTCTATATATTTTAGTATATATTCATCCAATTAAATTCCCCTGTTTAGATCATTCTTCTGTCTAGTTTTATGGAGATCATTTTGAATTCTAAGGGTAAGATACTGATTTCCTTCAACTTGTTTTCAGTGTCTAAAGTAATGAACATATATTATTCAACATTAATGTCACTAGTGAAATGTTAAATTTTATCAAATATCTGACTTCATTTTACAAATGAAAAATCCACTCTTACAACAGAATGAATAGGATTTTTTTTGTACTAGAATTGTGCTCACTATCCAACACTGAAAATAAAAGGTGAAAGTGTCAACCGCAGTTTAAGAGACATTCAGCCTGCTCTCAGAAGTTTGGGGTACATCTCTCTTCACAGTAATATGGTAAAATTGGCACTGTTACCACAGCAATCACCTCATTGTCCTCTTTCTAGTATATATAAGAAAATAATTAGGGAGGAGAAGACTTTGTTGGCCATTGATAATTTGGGAGTGTAGGGTTCAAAAAGAGAGGCCTTTTCTCTTACTTCCCCAGCAGAGGTGGGTGCATTTCCCCTTATGAAGATAAGTGAAGAAATGTACAAGAAAATCTCTTGTAGGGATTGAGATACAAGAAGGGGAGACTGCCATTTGTTCCCTGGCTAGATGCTTGAAATGCTTTAGAAAATTGAAGCTCCACTGTAGTGTTGCCAGTAGAATAAAATGTGATTAAGTTCATGTGGAAGAAGTTAGCATTTGTTTGTTTGTTTGTTTTTGACATGGAGCCTTGCTCTGTCACCCAGGCTGGAATGCAGTGGCATGATCTCGGCTCACTGCAACCTCTGCCTCCTGGGTTCAAGCAATTATCTTGCCTCAGCCTCCTGAGTAGCTGGAATTACAGGTGCCCACCACTACACCCAGCTAGGCATATGTTTCTTGAACTTTGGAAGTTTACCAAGAGCATATCAACTGATGTCCAGTTTGGTCTACAAGTTTCAAAAAGAAAGTTTTTGGAGTAATCTTGCCAATGGGGCTTGAAGTATATATTATTGTTCAAAAACCTTAGTGGTTCTTTGGCTTCACATGATGGAACCATGGAGGTTAGTGGAGGAGCAGGAACTGCCCTGTATGCCACTGAGCTAAGAGATGGGATGTCCAATTCAGAAAAGGGGTTGGGGATATGTTCTAATGGGGTGGCCAGTAGCAGATGTTTTTATCCTTATGAAGGAGTTCTCAGTAGCAAAGGAGACAGGGTAAAGCTGAACATTTCTCATGAAAACTACAGTTGCCTCCCACATAAAAACTACCATCAGTCGAGGCCAGTTTAATGAGTATGTGACCAGTGCACTTGCATCATAGGGACCCACACTCAGAAGGGCCTCTTGCTTCAGGTTTAATGTTTCATGGTCAGTGTCTTGAAGATTTTATTTTGAGTTTATATTTTGTAAATGAAGTCTAATGGAACAATGGAGCATGTGCTAGGGGTTTGGATCCTTCAGCTCAGGTATCATCTTGTCTCCACTATCTCCCAGGACTGGTTCTTGGCTGTTGGCTCTTCCACCCTCTGGGAACCTAGGTCCAGCTTTGCCTTCTACTCCCTGTTTCTGTCCTGCCACTGGTGCAGTTTGACTGGCTCACATTCACAGGGACCTTTACTCTTTGATTGGGGTGTAGGTGCAGGCAAGGAGGGCCTAGATAGGGTGCATATGCGCCACTGTATTTTGGGTGAGGTATAACAACAGTTGTCTTTGTTGCATGTTGGCAGTGCCTTAAAGTGTTAGGCAGGCGACTTGGTGGGAGTCTACAGGGAGGATGAGTCCCCAGTCCAGGTACTGAGTGCATACCTACCTCCTGGCAGTTGCAGTTTCTTGAGAGTCACCCATTTGCCACGGGTTGGGGTGAAGGGACCATGGGAAGGGAATATTGACTTCTCCACCCATGTCCACGACATAGTAGATGGGTCTAGCAGCTGGCAGGACAGGGAAACTGGTAGTTGGCGGCTCTCACTCGTGCTGAGTTGTGTGATGAGGCCCTTAGGCACCTATGAGGGTCTGCATTTGCCCGGCGAGTATCCCCAAGCCTAGAGGATCATGATATTAAATACAAAATAAAAAGTACCATGACAAATTGAAAGAGAGAGAGGGGCTGCAAAGAAGAGAAAAAGTTTTATATTTTAGTACCATTATCTAGTCCTAAAAAGTACTATTGAGTAGCACTTCTTCCCCTGTGTTTTTCTTACCAGGCCCAACAAATTATGTAGTCTGACATTGAATGGAACCAAATTGAACCTGAGCAATGCAACATTTATTAATATCTCCTCACCATTGATGTTCTATGGCTTGTCATGTAACGAAAATTTTGCTTTCCTTGTTTCTCTTATATGTCCCAAATACTATAGGAGAGGGAGTGAGAGGTGGTATCCTAGTGTCAGACCTCTCCCTTCTTTTAATCCCTTCACCTATTCCAATAAACAACTAGTAAAAAAAAGTGTCTCTGTAAGTCCAGCTATTAGCATGTCCCTACCTCCCATCTCCCCTGCCCACTCTATAGTTAGATAACTGGAACTATTTCTCTAATATGTTGAACTTTCTCCCAAGCAACATACGATATAATTTAACTAGGTTGTTTATGAATAGCTGTTACCAAGAGCATCTTCTAATCCAAATAAATGAGGTGAAACATAGAGTTTTAGGGAAAACAAAAGATGAAAGATTATCTAATCCAGCCATTTCATTTAATGAAAAGAGAGACCCAGGAAATATAGGCAGTGTAGTTCAAAGCCTCATAATTAGCAGCAAAATTAGGATTAAATCTGTTGTGATTTGAATCCACCACTATTTCTACAACATACTGTTATTTTTCCTAGATCTGTGAGAGCTTATCGAGCAATTTTTTTAGATCAGTTATACCAAGATTGTAACTCTTAACTTGTCCCTTTGTGAACTGTAAGTCCGATACTTCCATACTGCTGAATTTTACAGAGCCTGTATATAGTTATCTGTTTGTCTGAGTTAATGGTGACCCTAAATATAACTTCAGGATCTTTTGATTTCGACTGCCAATCATTAAATAATCAAATGCCTCTTTTCCCCACAAATGCCTTTCTCTTTAACTGCCACAAGTATTACCCGAGCCTTGATAGTACATAGAGAAGCTAGATTTTATACACTAAAATTTTCAAGTATTGTCAAAAACAGGATAGAATTGTTAGGTTTTTATTTTGATAATAAAGATATTAAAAATGCAAACAAAACAATCTATTATTACTATCATTGTATGAAAGAGAACATTTTAACATCAAACATATATTGAAGACATAATCTCGGGATAAAGGATAGTCCTTTATGAGAAAAGGCATTTAATGACCTTATATTGACATTTTTTTTTTTTTGCTGTGGACTAGTGAATATTTTGTCATGGATCAGTACTTGTCTGCAGACTGGTGTCTGAGAACCACTGAAATATAGCATAACAAAATATTAATGTTGAACTGTTGCTGAGGATTATGCTGAGATATCTCAAGTGTTTTCTTGAGCATTCTCATTCTACCTATACTAAAAGGGATCATTACTCTTGATAATTGCCAACTGTTTTTCAGTGCTCTGCAATCATGCTGTCATCTGTCTTACTTTTCTAATAGTAAAATTTAGAGCATAGAAAGCTAAATTCTCATAATAGGAAATACCTTATAGTGTGATTTAATTATAGTTTAGTCCAGTTGTAAGCATAGTTATGTTCCTATAGTCATAGTATTAACAAGAATAATTTACTTAGTCTTTTCTGAAACTCTATTAATATAGTATTAACTGGAATCATTTACTTAGTTTTTGGAAGAGTAAAGCATTAGCAAATGGTTTCATTTTGAACTTTCACAATATCCATTTTTTTTTTTCAGAGATGGTTTTCAAAAGAGAGAGGCATTTGGATTATCTAAGGTATTGGAGTCATAGTCAAAATATCCTAGCATTATGTTTATAGTCACCATTAAGTCAGAGAAACACATAATTATATATTTATGAATACCGTAGGCTCTGTAGAATTCAACAGTACTTAAGTACTGGACTTAGAGCTCATGAAGGGACAAGTTAAAGAGTTGTGGTCTTAATAACAAAATTGCTAGATCAGCTCTCTTTGTTATCCAGATGCAAAAGTACCCCAAATAATTTCCTAATAGAATATACTATACTTAATCTTAGCCAAAAAGCCAAGAAGGAATCCCTGATAGAATATATATAAACTCCATGGCCTGGCATGGTGGCTCACACCTGTAATTCCAGCACTTTGGGAGGCCATCGCGGGTAGATCACCTGAGCTCAGGAGTTTGGAACCAGCCTGACCAACATGGTGAAACCCTATATCTACTAAAAATACAAAATTAGCCTGGCATGGTGGCGTATGCCTGTAATCCTACTCGGGAGGCTGAGGCAGGAGAATTGCTTGAACCTGGGAGGCAGAGGTTGCAGTGAGCCAAGATCACATTATTGCACTCCAGCTTGGGCAACAAGAGCGAAACTCTGTCTAAAAAAAGAAAAAAGAGTATCAACTCCATAAGGACAGCAACATTTCCATTGACATAGCATAGAAACCTAAAATGGTCCCTGGCACATCATAGTAGCTTATTAAATATTCTTAATGAAAAAGATGAACAGTGAATAAACTCATAGTTTTTCCAAGTTTAGATGTTGCCTGGTCAGGACTTCTAGTTAAACATGTTTAACCCCACATTACATATTTTTGAAACTGCAATAAAATGACACTAAAATATCCACAAGGACAAGGAAACGGGGAGGAAACAGTAAAAGTACTAAAAAGTGGGAACGGGGAACGATCCAAAATGGCCGATCGCTAACAACCTGGGATTGCAGCTCTCAGGGAAGGCGCGGAGAACTAGAGGACGCCACACTTTCAGACAAATTCTGGTCACTCACGGAGCAGAAGATCCCCCAGTGGAGGAAACACACAGGTGGCGAACGCGACTCTCGGGGCCGGCGCAGCGGTTCCGCCGGCA